ACTTAGACATTTTGAAAAGATTACAATTTTGAAAACTTGAAACTTTAAATTTAAATTTTAAAAAACTGAAACTTTAATTCTACCTTAAAGAAAACAGATACATATTGAAAAGTATTTTTGTTTCTTTTTAAAAATTTAAAAATGCTTTTAAACTTACTCCCTCCAATATATATTTATATAATATATATATATATATATATATATATATATATATATATATATATATATATATATATATATATATATATATATATATATATATATATATATATATATATATATATATATATATATATATATATATATATAGTATATATGATAAATAAACCTCCACAATTTCCTTGGTTTAACAACTCGATTATGATTAATAACAACTCTGTAAACATGAATTTTCTAATAACCCAAACAAATAACAGATAGACAAACATAAATAACACAATTAAATCCTAAACCGGTCTAAGAAGCAACTTTCGCGGTCTACGAAGCAACTTTCCATCAGTTGAGTCTTACCTCCTGCAAAATTCACCAGACTTGCTTGCACTCAGTGAAACAAATTTAAGTTCTGCAAATCCTTCTTCAGATGTCAGTGTTGATGGGTTGATCCTTTGATTCGTAAAGACATCAATAGTCACATGCTAGGTTTAGGGGTTTACATACGCATTAATTCCCCTATTTGTCGTGAAATCAGGTTCGAATCCTTTGACCATTCTTTTATGTGCTTTCGCCTAGCACCTCTTCACTCTATCACCTTTTTCTTTGTTCTTTATTGTTCTTCTTCTTCCCGTGATTGCACTCTTTTAGATGTTATCTTTGATTAAATTGACCATGCCCTCTCTCTTTACCCCTCTGCCAATATTGTTGTTGTTGGTGATTTTAATGCCCATCACACTGAATAGCTTGGCTTTAACACCACTGATCCTGCTGGCACTGAAGCCTTTAACTTCTGCGTTTCTCAATCTCTTACTCAGATAGTTAACTTTGTGACTCGTTTTCCTGACAACCCTAATCATTTACCTTCACTCCTTGACTTATGTCTTGTCTCTGACCCTAGCTTATGTTCAGTTTCTCCCTTTTCTCCCTTAGGTGGTTCTGACCATGCAATGATCTCTATAAATCTTTCTTGTCGTACTTCTTTTTTGGGCTCACCTTATCATCGCACCACCTACTACTACCCTAAAGCTGACTGGGATTCCTTTCGTGATTTTCTTCGTGATGGTCCTTGGGCTGATGTTTTTCTCTCTCAGCTGACAAATTCTCTCACGCCTCCTACGTACCCTCCTGGATTCAGGCTGGAATAGAAGCTTTTATTCCTTCTCGTCGGTTTCAAGTCAAACCTCATTCTACTCCATGGTTTTCTCTTTCTTGTGCGGCTGCTATATCCAATCGTAATCATTTTTTTCATCTTTTTCAAAAGAACAACTCTCTTGAGAACAAACGGCTATTTATTATTGCAAGAAATTGATGTAAAAAGGTGCTTTCTGATGCTAAACTCCATTATTCTCAGTTCACTAAATCTCGCATCTTATCGCAGAAGTTAGGCTCTAAAGACTTTTGGAAAATCTTCAACAACATTATTAACAAAGGTAGATCTAACATTCCATCTCTCATTCATGAGACTGATCTTATTACCTCTCCCAAGGATAAAGCAGAACTATTTGCAAAGAACTTTTCTTCTAATTCCACTCTTGAATCTTATGGACATTCTCTTCCTTCCATTCCAGTCAAACAGGTTGACCCATTGTTAGACATTCAAATCACTCCGGCTTCTGTTGCTAAAGTCATATCTCAATTAGACTTGTCTACAGCTTGTGGTCCAGACAACATTCCTGTCACAGTCTTGCAGAATTGTTCTCCAGAACTTTCTTCAATTCACTCTAAACTATTTAACAAGTGTTTGACTGAATCTTGTTTTCCTGTTTGTTGGAAAATGGCATCTGTGGTTCCAATATTCAAAAACTCTGGAGAAAATTCGCTCTACGGCCGATATGCTAACTGCTGTAACTGAAAGATTTTATCGTGCATTAGATGGAGGCGGTGAGGCTAGGGCTATTGCTCTTGACATATCTAAAGCTTTCGATAAAGTTTGGCATGCTGGTCTTCTCCATAAGCTTGCTTCATATGGTGTTTCTGGGAAAGTTTTTGAGATTATCAAATCATTTCTTTCTAACCGGTTTATTAAAGTCATTCTTGAAGGCCAACATTCTTCTTTATTTCCAGTAACTTCTGGGGTTCCCCAAGGTTCTATCCTGGGCCCTGTTTTGTTTCTTATCTACATAAACGATCTTCCTGACAACCTTTCATCTAAAATAGCTTTTTTTGCTGATGACTCAACTTTATACTCCTGTCTTGACAAAAAGTCTTCTCTTTTCAATCGCCTAGAACAAGCAGCTGATCTTGAATCTGATCTCACTTCAGTAATAGATTGGGGTTCACAGTGGCTTGTGAATTTCAACTCTAAAAAAACCCAATTGCTTACTGCAATCAACTACCGTAGTATGGTCAACATTCTTATATTAATGATTGGCAATCCTCTTACTGAGTCGTCCTCTTTACGTCTTCTTGGATTATCGCTTACTACTGACCTTTCATAAAAAACCATATTTACAATCGATTGCTAAATTAGCTTCTGCTAAGGTTGCTTCTCTTTATCGTGCTCGCCATTTCCTTACTTCTGATTCCATTCTCTACCTCTACAAATCTCTTATTTGTCCCTGTATAGAATACTGTTGTCATATTTGGGCTGGTTCTTCTAACGATTCACTTTCTCTTCTTGACAAGGTCCAAAAACGCATTGTAAATGTTGTTGGACCTGGACTATCTGCTAAGCTTGAACCTCTATCCCATCGTCGTAAAGTTGCATCTCTTTCTCTTTTCTACAGATACTATCATGGTCACTGCTCAAAGGAGTTATCATCTCTAGTTCCATCAACTAAAATTCATTCACGTTTTACTCGTCTTTCAGCTAAGTCTCATTCGTTTACTGTATCTGTCCCTGCATGCTCTAAAAACTTTTATTCATCTAGTTTTTTTCCCCGCACTTCAATTCTTTGGAACTCTCTCCCATCTTCATGTTTTCCTGACTCATACAACCTTCAACTTTTCAAATCTTCTGTCAACAGTTTCCTTGCTCTATAACTTCTTTTTTTTCTTCCTAGTAACTCCTAACTTAATAGTGGTTGCTTGCAGTCTTGTTGGGAGTGAATGCAAATAAAAAAAAAAAAAATAATAAAAAACAAAATTTATTCATGCAATACAAATTATTTTATATTTATTGAGGAGCCAGAAACATATTTTTTTTCAAATAGCAAAAGTATTAACAATATTAAAGATAAATTTTATTTATAACAAAATTTTCAGTAAAAATTAAATTAAGATAAATTTATAACATAATGTTGTCATGGCTTTTATCCCAATAACCAAAACTATGTGAAAGCATGAAACTACTCATAAATAATTTTTAACGCTAGGCACAATCTATGAATTAAAGTAATCTATAACACGAAGCTTTAAATTTAAAATTACAATTTAAAAAAGATTACAATAAATTAATTACTTTTAAGTATAATTTTAAGCTACTAAACATTATTTACTTAATGTCAACTTGGACATTTTGAACTCGTACCATGAAAGGTTGAAAGGAAATCTTTAAGAAAGCACGCGGTAAAAAAAAGCCTAGAAACTACTTAAAAAGTGTATTTTACAGAAACAGAACCGTACCGTAACTATAAAAAAATGCGCGTAACTATACGCACCAATAATAATAATATTCATTCGGCTATTAATAATTAGAATTTGTAAACAATTTAATTTACAGTCAAATGGTAATACAATAATAAAAAGTTGTTAATTTTTAAATTATTTTATGTATCTTATAAACTTACATCAAATTACTCACAAAACAAGTATGTCATTTCTATACCACATTGTATATGTAAATACTTTTAAAATTTGTGCGTATAAAATCAACTTTTTTTTTAAATTGACATCATTTTGGTCTCAATTTTGGTCCCCCCTTTCCCCGTTGTCAACTCTTTTCAAACTTTTTAGTACACCCTTCCCTACCCCCCCTCCCTATATTTACTGAGATTATTTATGGATAGCTCCTCTATTGCAAGCAACTTACGTCAGAGTTTAACAGATCATTATTAAACTTATTATTGGTTTCCATTTTTTTGCGTATTTTTTTTTCTTACTTTTTACAATAAGAACTGAGACTATAAAATATTTTTATATTATTTTAGGCTAAATTTTTAAACATATATATTTTTATCAGTATATTTTTTATTTGTGTTATATTTGATAGTTTAAATAATATACAACGGTTTTCAAAACGCTATACGCTTGAAAAATTAGACGACTGCTATTTCTTATTGAAAGTATATTAACTTTGAGTTGGTGAGATATTAACAAACTGCATGAACTCTGTGAAAGACTTTCATAGTTTCTGTTTAGAACGTGATTCTGTATAAAACTTATTTTTTAATAACATTTTATTAATGCATATTAAATATTTTATAGATAACGAGAGTTTTAATCAGAGTTGCATTATTTAAGTTACATTTTAATCAGAGTTGCAGAATAACATTATTGGCCTTAAGGCCAATAATTAAGGCCTTGAAATTGTCAACTTTAGACAGTGCTTTCTTTCGTGTTTGCATCTTAAACTATTTTTATTCAACTTATCTAAGTCTTTGTATTTGCCAGAGCACCAAACATCTGTAAGGTAGATCATACCAAGTGTAAAAAAGACGTCTTTTAAACATCTTATACACGTTTTGGACGTCTTTTTTAGGTCTGGTGCCCACTGGGTACTAAAAATAATTCTGCATTTAAAGATAAAGTGTTTTAGTATATGTTTATAAGTAAACTTTAAAGTTTATGTGTATTACAGTAAAATCAGTTTTTTTTAAGTTTTAAGTTCAAATTCTATGTTTTGAATATCGAAATGTGCGTAATCAAATTATTTTTTGCCTAAAAACTTTTATTCTCATAATGATCGTTTAATAAAGTTTTATTCACGGTTTTAAAAACATTTTATTTAATATATTTAAGGTATTAAATATTTTATCGTTTTGTAAAGTTTTTTAATTCATCGAGGTTATAAAAATCTTTTCCACAGTACCAGATCTTAAACTTCTTGACATTCGAACAACGAATCCATTCATAAAATTCTTTAATAAAATCAATGTCGTCGTGAAGTCGAAGATCTAATCCTTCACAAAGATTAATCCACGGAAGAAAATTTTCTTCGAAATCTTTTTTTGTTATTAAATAATCTGAGATCCACATCGTCAACTCTTTAATCTTATCTTTTGGTTTCCATCCTTCGAAATTAATTGGACGATAAAAGATGACATCGCGAACATTAGTTGAACATTGTATTAAAAGTTTTTTTTCTTCATCACTTAAAATATTTTTACTAATTATTAACCACGATAACTTTCTTCCAGATTTTATGTAATGATTTATGAAATAAGTTTCGCAAGAAGTAAAGTAAGAAGTTTTTCCATCGTAAATTGAAATCCTCCCCCATCGTTTATCAACAATTGATTTAATTTCATCATTAAATGATGATTGATTTTCATAAAAGCATTCAATGAATAAATGGTAATCATGGTAATCTTTGCTATCATAACGATCTAAAATAAAATATTAATTATAAAAAAAACAAATTAAAATCATAATCAAAATTATAACATTATATACATTATAATATTTTACATATTTATACATACAATTTTTATTAATTTATGATTAAATAAAAAACATATAAAACTTTTAATTTTTATTAAATAGATTATATTTTATACAATAATATTATTTACATTAATTTATATAAAATTAAAATGATATATAAAAATATTAAAATTGTGAAACCTTTAAATAAAACAACTCTTAAAAAAAAATATAGACAATTTTTAAGTTTGTGATTCTATCACATTTTAAAAATAGTTTAAATATAAGTTATAAAATAAATATATTAAAAATAACATAACAAAAATTAGAACGGTTGCTCACACACACACAAAAAGACACGATAAGTAAACACTTACACATCAATTCGAAAAAATAAAATACGAAAAATTCTTGAATTATAACAATGAGATATTTACACATCATAGTCAACACAATTTTATCATTAAAGCATTAAAGCTACAAAATGTAACATATATAAAAAATAAAAACAAACATAAGATAAACCGATAACCGATGAAATTTTAAAATTACAATAAAATCACATCAAACCACATTTTGTTTTAAAAAGTAAAAATTAAATCCATGTAACAATCATTTCAACGCAAACAAGAAAATAATTCATCATTCACAAATGTTTCATATAAACAAAATTTCTCTGAAAATTTTGCAAAAGAAACACAGGTTCTTGCCAAAATATTAAACTTAGATTTACTTATTAAACTTATTGTACAAATATTGTAAACATTAAGAACAAAAATAAATCGATTAAAAATAAACGGTAGAAAATGCAATTGAATAATAGCTCAGTATATTTTTCTTTCACTTTCTCGTAAACTGAAAAGGTGAGCTCTTAAACTAAATCTCAAATCAAATTTAGCCAAAAGCAGATTTGCTTTTTATTTACTTAGGTTTTTGTTTTATTGTTGTAACAAATTCCATATACATTATTGCACCACAGACAATGTAGATTAAAACTGTGATTTAGGTTAAACCTCACCTATTTATGTTAATATAAACTTAAAATACTATTTAAAATACTATAATTACTAAAACAAAATTTAGATAGTGTTAACCTAAATACTAGTAGTCTACTTTGAACTATGCTTTTAGATACTGGGATAAAATCTTCTATTTTGCATAATTAAGCTCACCTGGCCACTGTTTTAATTCTAATTTATGCAGGTTTGATTGTGAACTATTTTGACTGTAAAATAGATAACTTAAGAACACCAAAATCAGTTTGTTTTGGCTGCAAAGAAGTACAAAAGAATTAATTTTTAGTCAGCCTAATAAAAACAAATATTAGTTTGTTTCGGATGAACTATTTAAGGTAAGTGTATCCAATCAATTACAAAAGTAAATTTATAACATAATCAAAAAAGTAATTTAGATCTGTCACAAGAGGAGCTTACTTTGTGACATCATTTTTCAGATCTGCAACACATAAGCAAAGAAATAACATAATTTAAAAAACATAAAATTGGCCAAGACCTGACTTGTTTCATTTAGCAAATAAGAATATCAAACTTTAAGAATCTTAAAAAATACTTTAAGAATATCAAAAAACTTTTGATCAGCTTGTAAAAAAGGGAAGCAAATCCGCCTACAAAAAGCAAAGCAGATGGACTGACACACCTAGATTTATTCCAGAACAATTTGCCAAGAAAGCTAATGAGGAATAATTCAATTACATTAGCCTAAAAAAAAACCTGAAACTATAGTAATAAAATCTAATAGAAAAAAGAATTTCCAAGATGTTGTTTAAAAAAATTACGAAGATGTTGTTTAAAAAAGTGTGGTTGAATAACAAAAGCCTAGATTACACACAAATATTTTAGAGAAAATGATACAAGATAAAAAAATGTAACAATTAAAATAATTTTGAAAATAAAATCACCAGCTAAAAGGTTTAAATGAACATTAAGTTGCCCTGTTAACATGAGAGCAATTCAATGTAAAAATATCTAGGGCATGCCACCTTAAGTCTCAAATTTTGCTGATTTTTACACCACTCAAAGATTTCAATAAGTTATAAATATATTCCAAAAATTTTATCATTTAATCGAAATGGTTTCAAAGATATGACTATTCAAACTTTGTCTTGAAAATATCATCCTGAATAGTTTAGTTAAAGTTGTTACAAAGAATTGGAGAGTGGACTTTTCTTAAACAGAAAAAAAAAAAAAAAAAATGGTTAAAATTCCTTAAATTTGTTAGATATAAAACAGTTATAAAAATGAACAATTATAAAAAAAAAAAGACAAAAAAAGTTGATACTCATAAGTGCATAATACCCAGAAGTTGATGTTTAACAATTTTAGGAAGATTTTTCTACCCACCCTAAGCTTATTAAATTTCACTCAGGGATGTGGAGTCCCAAAAAGAACACCGGTTTAAAAGTCACAAAAACAGTCACTTCTTCCTAGTTTTCAGTATCCAGGAGCTCTAAAAAATATGAAAAAACCTTATGACTACAAATGGAAAAATTTTAAATTTTAGTTTTTGAACCCAGAGTCTTAGGGTATAATGGCGACAAGGAATCCTGGACTTTGGGCTTAAAAACAATAAGTTTTAAGTTATTAAATCCTATAAATTTTTCTATTTATTATTACCCCATTTTTTATATAAAGCTTCCTCTACAACTCTAAATACAGTTGAAAAAGATAATGCAAAATTAAAAATATAACCTCCTGAATTAGCAATACCACTTACCACTGTTGCAGAATATTGTCTAACTAAAAGTCCCTCACCTATTGCTGTAAGAACTATATTCTTTATAATATTTTCAGGCAAATAAACAGGTAGATTGTTTATATATGTTACGATATACTAATAATTATTACATTTTCACAATGAATTTACATATAAAAATATTTTATAAATATTAAAAAAAAAAAAAAAAATTTATAAATATTAAAATATAAATTTAAAAAATTTTTTTAAATTCATATTTTAAATAAATTATAAACTTTTTGTAATTTATATTTAATAATTTAATTAAACTATATATAATAAAAATAATTCGCAAGTTTTAAAAATTCATATTTTATATGCTAAATTAAATAAAATAATAAATACCCCATCATATAAAACATTTTGTGGTGCGTATAATGTAGAAAGTGATAAAATGATGAAATGCAAAAAATGATAGCAAACAACTTTATTAAATATTGATGCGTTTTACCAATAACTGTCTCAACCAATTGTTGACCATTTGTCAATAAAAAAACAAGTTTTTATTACTGGCTAGAAATAATTTAGTAAATCAAAACTTGTTTAGTATAGTAATTAAAATTTAATAAAATACTTTAAAACATTTAAAGCTCCATTATTTGTGATAACTTTAACTAAATTATTTAAGACAAAAAAAATTTGAGCCTCTACCTATGAATTTTTAAAATTCAAATAACCCCATGCAAAATTTTAATAAATTTTCAAGGTCGGGTACTTTAATTTAAAATTACTAAGAAAATAGAAAAATAAAGTCAGCGACAACTAAAAAAACGATTTGATATGGTTTAAGCTTTACCAGTTTAATTACAGTCTCAGGTGCTTAATACAATGTGGGTGGATGTATTAAGCACCTGAGACTGTAATTAAACTGGTAAAGCTTAGAAAAAAATAGCTGAAATTTTTTGAGAGTTTAGATACTGTTTCTTTGTTCATAACAAGTTGTTTATAATTTGCAAAACAGATCTATTGTATTTTTTGATTTAGTCAAAAAAAACAAGAATGCACATTTTAAGGCAAATTTTAAGAAAAATTACTGGTATTAAAGCCAAGCCATGTGCGTTAAAAATTGCATCATAATATATGATGAAATCTTATAGGATTCACATAAGATACATAATTGAACTAAACAATCTTAACCTGATCTATAGAAAAACAAACACACAAAACAAAAAAAAATTAATACTTAATCATAATTAACTTCGCCTGGCCCCTGTTACACTCCAAATTTATTCAAGATAAGGAATGTAACAGTGACCAATCTGTCATCTATTAATCATCTATTAATTATGAACCAGAGAAAACAAAAATTAGTTTGCATTGGTTGCAAAGAAATGAAGTTTGATAAATAAGAGACACCGTTGTATATACTTTATATAAAATGCAATAAATCCAGTTTTGGAAGGCAGCCGCCATATTGGTTAACCCAAAATATTGTAATGTTTTGCGTGGAACTTTATATTTTTAAAAGAAAACTTTGCTAAAAACAAGTCCAAATATAAATATAAATGATTAAATAATTTGCCAGTTGTTTTTGAGATTGTAATAAACTAAAAAGAATTGTTTGCTAACTGATTATCAGGTTCAGTTTATTCCAAAAAATTAGAATACTAAAGTAGATATTCAGTTAGTAAATACAAATTTAGAAGATGCCATATTTTATACAGTGTGAGTATCTTATGTAATAAAAATAATTGTGAGTTTTTTATTAAAGTTTAACCAAATTAAATGTAAACATAAATAAAAACAAATATAATAAATTTACATATTTATCTTTCAATCTTATAGTTGTTATATATATATATAATATATATATATATATATATATATATATATATATATATATATATATATATATATACATATACATTATATATATATCATATATATCATATATATATATATATCATATACATTAAAAGTATATCTTATACTGCTGAGTTAGGTGAGCATGATGATGTCATACTCATCTAACGTCAAATAGCCTGCTGCCGAGGGCTTCAGTACATACATCAACTGACAAATAGCCTGACTGGCAAGGGAGTGCTGCTACATCGACTGAGGGTTTGGTATGGGTCAGCAACCTTTTCATTTATTATTCTTCGTTTTCCCTCATCGTTTTCTAAAAATCCTCACTTAATTTTGGCTAGAAAAAAAAGTGAGCAATTGCGTATATAAATATGCTATTGTAGATATATATATGTATGTATGTATGTATATATATATATATATATATATATATATATATATATATATATATATATATATATATATATATATATGTATGTATGTATGTATGTATATATATATATATATATATATATATATCAGTATTCTGAATGTTATTAGAATAAACTGAAAAAGGCAATCAGTTAGCAAATAATTCTTTGTTAGATAGTTTAAGCTGCCAAACATAAGCTGACAAATAATTCAATCATTTGGTGCAATCTATTGACTAGAATTTAATAAACTCTTTAGTAAAATCTTAAGTTCTGTGAGATGTTTTGGGTTAACCAAGATGGTGGCTGTTTTAAAAACTAATTTCAAAAAAGTCATGCGAAAACATCACAAGAACACAAACCTGGACAATTTTGAGCACTTTACTAATCGAACTGCGAATCCCTTGGTTATGAGGCGAGCGCTTCACCTCTACACTACAACCGCATTAGTAAATAAAGAAATTCTTCAATTAGATATATGTGTACAAATCAATATTATGTAATGTTATATTGTGCATGTAATAATGTACTATTTATCATATTATATATATATATATATATATATATATATATATATATATATATATATATATATATATATATATATATATATATATATATATATATATACATATACATATATATATATATATATATATATATATATATATATATATATATATATATATATATATATATATATATATATAAAATAAATATATATTTTAAGTGCGTGTGTTTATATATGTATGTATGTATGTATGTATGTATATGTATTCTAGCAATATATATATATATATATATATATATATATATATATATATATATATATATATATATATATATATATATATATATATATATATATATATATTGCTAGAAAATTCATAGAAAATATTTTTAATTTTATAAACCATTAAAAAAACTATTAAATATTATTTCTTTTTGGTAAAATGGCTAACTAATGCCAATTTCTTTGGCCTAAATTATATTACTATAATGCCAAAAACTTATGTAAAAATCCAGAAATAGCATATAATGTCATACACTAAAAAGAAGTTAAAGCAGTCTGTAAAAAAAAAAAATGATGAAAGTAAGGTTGTGTAAAAAATAAGAAAGCACTGAGATAACCAATGCTAAAGATAATGGTCATCAGACAAACATCAGCGTTTGGTTAAAAAAAAACTGCAATATTGTCTTGTTGTGTATTATGTTGTAATATATTGAGCAGTGTACAAAAATTGGCTGGCCTTGTGACAGATCTGCAAAAAAGAATTGTCAAAACATGCCTCCACCTATTTGGGAAGATAGGAGACAGAATTAAAGAATAAGATTCCTTTTTATTACATTTAAGCAAACAAATAAGATCATAGCTGCAGAAGTTTTTATTTAGGTAAATAAAAGAAGATATTTGTTTTTAACTTTTAAGGTAAATAAAAGAAGATATTTGTTTTCTTTTAATTACCTTTTTCTCAAAAAGCTGCTGAAAATCAAACTAAAAAAGACTTTTTATTGAAAAGTTATTTTGTAAAAATAACAAGCAAAAATATTAGAATAATAATTGAACAAATAAAAACTGCTAATCTTAATCTATTTTTTTCTAATCATTTTCGATGAATGATGACGAAATTATTGTTAACCTATATCCTGTTTCAGGGTAAAATGATTATCAAAAACACCTTCAACTTTTATTTTCAATTTTAGTCCCGTGAGGAGCAACATAAACAATTTTTATAACTTTCTTGCAGAGTATGTAGTGATATGTCTGCAAAGTTAGGAGACTTTATTACATTATTCTGCACAGTTATGGCTTTTTAAAGATAAAAAATAAAAAATTCTTTATAAGTACTAGAGATAGTAGTCAAGACAGTTAAAGCTAAGACCAAAACCAATTAATTATTGCTCAAGACCTAAGACTTTAAGACTAATACCATAATCATCACAAAGTCAAACCGAGACCAAAAACAAGACTTTTCACAAGACTAAGACTTAGACTCTTAGATGCTCAACACAGTAAGGACTTATGCTTACACCTGCATGTATACTATTAGGCCCTTAGCTGATGTATTATATTACCATTTATGCATCTAGGAAAAGTACTCATTTTACTTTTACTTATAAAAATATCAAAATAGGGTAAACCCTACTCTGATATTTTTGTTTATACTATAACATTATCTTTTTAAAAAAAAAAAACTGAGAATGTGTTTTTCTTCACAATTTTAAAAAAACTTCAAACTAAACTTCACAATTATACAAATAAAAACAATATGTATATATAAAAAAAAAAAAAAAAAAGACATAAAATTTGTAAACAATCTTTTGAAACTGATAATGACATTATTTTAGAAAAATTCAAGTTTCCAAGTCATTTATTCCAAATAATATTACAAATATTAACACTTGTTATTTCAAACGTAATTTTAAATAACTTTTCCTCTCAAAAAGGTTTTGGTGTATGTATACTGTAACTTTTTTTTCCATAGGGAAAAAAATTTGTTGATATTAAAAGTTGGTATTAAAAGTGATTTTATGCAAAGAAAATAATTTAAGTTAATTGTTAAAAGCTTTATAAAAGTGGACTCAAGACATAAATTTATCTTGTGAACAATTTTTTAAAAATATTTTTATGTACTAACTGAAAATAAAAACATTGTAATAAAGACTGTACAACCATTTTTATAATATTTTATTTTCTTTAAAAAGTTTAATAAAAAAAATATTTACTTCACAAAAAACATATTTTGTTCATGTTTTACTTCATACTTTAAGAAAGTCTTTTGAAGTATTTATATTCATATATAAGACTTGTACAAACAGTTTGTTAATTTTTAAAAATTATTTGTTTTCTAAAAAATTTAAGAAATCTTTAAATATCTTATAACTCTAAATTAAGAAAACCAAAACACAAAACAAAAAAAAAAACAAAAAAAAAAAAGTCTTTTCTAAAAACAACCAAAACCACATAAACACCTTCAGCATTTATAAAGCAAGTAATGGTCACACAATAAATTTGATTTTTTTTTAGATAACAAAATTTATTTTTGAATTTTTTCAGAAAACCTACCTAACATTCTGAAACATACCAAATATAAAATAATATTTTATACTGTTCAATACCTTGTAAAAATAAAAAAAAGTAAAAAGCTTATTAATATTTACATCTTATTAAACACTTGAATGATTATCTAAAATAGAGTCACAATGAAACAACAAAGTTTTAAAACTTACCCAAAATAAAAAACAAGAGTGATGATTTTTCATTGCATTTTTTTGAAGGAGTTAGGTTAACAAGAAACTTTATTAGACTATTTTTGTTTTTATTAGATAATCCACAAATCATTGATAAACAACTCTTCAGCTTCTCATTGGCCATAATCTCATCACTACTTAAACAATTATATGCATAAACAGATGCACAAAACTCCATTATAGTCAAATGCACAAACTGATAATAACAACCAAGATCAGTTTTAATCCTTTCAATAAATCCAAAAAAATTACCTTCATTTCTGTCAAAGTCACTATAAAAGTCTTGAATTTCTTCTTCGGAAAATATAATTTTATTTTCAACAAATAATTTATATGCAATTTTACAAATATTTAAAATGTAATTTTTATTGGAACTATCTTCCATTATCTCATAAATCAATTTATTGATTTTAATGATGTGCTCTCGCAAAAAATATAAAAAAATATTAGCATACAAATCTGTCATTGTTAAAAAAAAATTTAAATCTGTTTTTTCTGAATTACTTATAATTTTACACAATGATGATAAATAAAATGGAACAGATGCCATGGCTTTTGCAATGGGAGACTCCTTTAAAGTTGTTTTTACAATTTTTTTTTTCCCTTTCACAACATGATTTTTTACATAATTATTTATTCCATTTTCATTAAATCCCATTATTTGAATGGTCAACTTATCACTATGTTTTGTAGATATACTTTGGTATTGATCAACTGCATAAACTCTGCCAGCAATTACATGTTTGTATTTTTGAATTTCTCGTAAAACTTTAACAATCGGAATGTTGGTCAAACTTGGATTTAATAACTCATTGAAATATTTAAATTCATCGAAACCATCAATTATAAACAGTGCAGTGTGACTACTAAATTTAAAATCGTTTATGATATCCTTGTAGAAAATATTTAATAATTCATTAATATTAGAAATATTTGCATATGAATTGAGTATCCTGCATTCAAAATAAAAAACAAGTTCAACATTTTTCCAAATTAAACCATTTGACCAATCAAGCAAACATTTTCTAAGCAACCATGTTTTCCCAATACCAGCAATTCCAGATATTAATATTACTGTTTTTTCTTTCAAAATATTTCACTATATGAAATTGGTGTATAAAGCACCTGCTTTTCAAGAAATTTCTTCCGTTCAACACTAAAAACAGCATCCACTGAGCGTTCCACTTGAGCATTTACTGCATCAACGATACAGAGGTCAACAAATTTTTGTATAAGATCAACGTCTGCAGTTGCTTTTATTAGTGGTTGAAGTTCACCTATTTTCCCATAATATTCAAGATAAAATTTTTTAAGTTCAGCCGACATCCTCAACAAATCTAAATCAAACAAAACAATTTCTGTAAAGTCATCATCGTGATTTTGCTAATGTTCATGATCATGACAAAGATGACCATTATTACTATAATTTTATATAAACATAAAACTTTTATTATAACATACTTGACATCAAACTTCTGATAAATCTAATGAATCTAAATAGTTTTGCGAGAAATGATTTTTATTAATTCAAGATTTTTTAAATAAAAGAACATTAAATTTTTTAACAAAGTTATTAAAAATCAGAAATTATTTTTAACAAACTTTTAATGTAAATTTAATGTTTTTATATTTGACAAACATTTTATTTGTTATTATCATAGATCATCCAGGTCATACTGTGAAAATCCGGAATATTGTTTGAGCAAAATTTATGGAAAAAATCAGAAATATACATTTTTTTTCCTTAATTTTGCTTTTAACTGAGTTGTTTAAATTATTATTTTAAATTTTTCTTTTTTTTTGTATAAGTGACACAATGGCTGATGACCTTTAATTCAGATATCAATCATTATTTTTTAGATAGGAAAGTAACAAACAGTTATGTAATGACAAAACGTAACAACCTACCATGTAACTAAAACAATTACTGCAAAAAAACAGTAACAATGATTTAATAAATATAATAATCTTAATATCTACAATCATAATAAAAACAATAAAAGTAAAATAAATACTTCATTAAAAGAATAATAATAAAATTATATGATAATAAATCAATATCAATTTTAAATTTTCATAATTAATGACAATATTAAAATAAAAAAGTAAATCATTTCAAGCTAATACATATCGTCACTCAAAAATAATAAAATTTAAAGAATATTCTTTTTTTTATCTTCAAAAATGGAGCCATTTTTATATTTTGTTTTAATTCCTTTCCATATTTGAATGTTTCTTTTTTCATTTGTTAATTTTGTTTGATTTGTTTATTAATTTTTTAATAAATCCTAACTTTTTTCAGCTATTTGTTATCGCAATAATTTAGATCTTTCTATATTTATGAATAATAATGTACTTGATGAGTCACCTACACTCTTACATCTATCATGGAAACTGTATACCAAATCCATTACATAAATAACATCTGCTAAGGTTGAATCTCTTTGTGCTTAACACTTTCTTACTCTGGAATATACTTTTTATTCCTATATATAAGAGCACTGCTCTAAAGAAATAGCTTTCCTTGTGCCTTCTATTTCTAAAATTCAAAATTCTTTTGTGCCTTTTACTTTTAAAATTCATTCTTGTGTTACTCATCATTCAACTAAGTCTTATCCTTTTTCTGTGACTGTTCCAAAGTCCTCCAAACACTCTTATTTGTTTAGTTTTTTTCCGCGTACATTAGTTCTTTAGAACTCACTCTTTTTTTCTTGTTTTCCTGATTCATATAATTTGCAAACTTTCGTATAACTTGTATTTTGAAAGATGCTGAAAAAAAAAAAAAAAAAAAAAGAAAAGGTAATGAGTGAACAAACTTGAACAAACAAATATAATCCAAAAGTATATTCTTATGCTTGTATGCATGGAAAACCTTTTTGATATTCGAAAAAACTGAAAATTGAAAAAAATGTCTGAAATTCCATAAACATTGGAAAAAAGATAATTCATGTATTATGTCTATACATAAACTTTTTTAATTGTTATGATGTCTCTATTTAAACATTTTATTTATTACTACTTTATTATTCGTTATTCATTCAAAAAATTTTTTACTTAATTTTATACTTCAAATCATTACTTATTATCACTAATTAATTTTTTTACTAAAATTGATTGAAGTTGCGGCTTCTAAACAACCTTTTAATATGAAATTTATTTAAAGTATTATCTCTGACAAACTTCTTAAAAAAAGCTCTTACACAACTTTTTTCTTTGCACAACAGCCTTGCTTGTCAAGCTTCATGTTTTGAAGTTGAAAAGGTGTGAGAGGGTCATAACCACAATAAAAAAAGGGTAAATGAAAAAAATTTCCTTCTTAACTGTAATGGCCCAAAACATATAAACAAATAAAAAAGGCAAGCTAATGTTAACAAAACAACTTTGTCTGATCTTTTCACTAAATTATTTTTTTAAAATTTCATACTTAAAACAAAAAAAAAAATATTAAAGTATCAAATGAAGTTTTGAAACTTCTTAACATAAAAAATTCCTGGTAATTATTATGAATTAAATTATTTTTTATGAATTATTTTATTGGTTGTTTTAAAGATTGAAACCAAAATTTTATTTTGAGGTAAAGTTATTTGACAAATATTTTTTATTCATTATGTCTTACTTGAACATAAAGTTGTTAGTTAAAAAACAAACTTTTTAATTATAACTGAATAAAGTTATTACTTATAAAACCCGATTTTTGTTTTACTAAAAATTCTTAGAAATTTCTTGTTAAATTTCTTATAAATTTTAGAATTAAAAATAACTACTCTTTCCACAAAAATTTTTTCACAAAATAATAAATATTAACTTCAACAACAAACCATTAAATGTTATTATAAGGTTTATAGGAGGTTATTATAAGTTTCATAAGAGGTTATCATGAGGCTCAAAGAAACCTAGAAGAAGCTGATTTTGAAGTCAAGTTTCTCCGACCCGAAAGTTCCATCAACATATTTTAACGGTATCAAATAGAAGACTAATGTTTTATTTTCAACATATTTAAAAGATTTTCCAGACCTTGCTTAAAATTAATGAAAATAATACAACTCCAAAGAGAACTTTTATTTGATCTGTATTGTCACACGCACAGATTTATCAATTTCTCAGATTATTTCAAACCATATGATCATAAAATTATAAAAAGATTAAAACTTATATTTTCATAAACTACGCGCTAAATTATAAAGTTACAAAAAAACATTATTGCAATATCTACAACAAAAATATTCAAATAAAAAATTTGTTTGTTCGTAAAAAAAGCATATCGTCAATTAACTCAGATGTAAATCGACTACGATGGTCTGGAGTCATGTGTTTAAGACTGAAAATAGTCGCTCAACACTGACTTGGGATATGGCTAGCGACGAAGCGACTCAGCAGGCATCCCGTAAAACTTCAGGAAACCGCTCAATTGCTTTTAATGGGTAAAGTTTTAAAAACTTGTCTAAGTTGGGGGAGTTGTCTTTAAACATTATACGAATTTCCAGAATTGTTTTCAGAGCTTGTCAAAACTCTGTTTCTATTACATTTAGCTGAATCTGCATTTGTTCTTCTGAAGAATTCTCTTCAATCTCCTGTTCACACAGCATAAATAAATTCGGTCGTCGCTTTGCAACTGGTGAAGCATTTTCCTCATTTTCTGAACTAGAGTCAATATGAACTGTTAAAGAGTTGGACGCTATTGTATTTTTGGTTTTGTTCAGTTCATCATTCTTATTTTTATTAGCCAGTTGAATAAGTTTGTAATTAATTTTCCAAAGTCCATCAGCTGCAGCTATCTATAGAAACATTTATAGTTTTTTGAATATATACTTTTTAAAGTTAAATAAATAAAATGTATATATATAAATAAAATTTTATTAAAAAAAGCAACCTTGTCTTCAGTCGCTGTCAGCATACAGCCATGCCTATTATCCACGTAAACTGCTGCAAGAAACAACAAATTTTCGCGTAGTGCGAAATCTCTCTATTATCCATTCCTTTCCGGAAATCTTTGGCTAAGTCGCTGTCCTTCCCGTCAAGTTCACACTTTATTGAATTCTAATCAAAAAGGAATTCACCTGCTGTGATGTTTTCACGCTGAAGACAAATAGTAAGATCGCGTGCCATTTGCAATATATCTCTCAATTCCTCCCACATTCCCCAAAGATATGGTTGCACATTAAATTCTTTTGGAGCTTCTTTTTGCATATTCAAATTTTGAATTACTGGTCGAATCTAGAAGATCAGAAAAATTCATTATATATATATGTACAATGTTATTAACTACTTAAATAAAAAGGATTATTAAAGAAATATTTACATAAACGTAAATTTAAAAATTATTAAGTTATGTAAATGTCATTAATATTGAAATAATTGGATTTATATTATACCAGTTGGAAAAAAAAAAGAAAAAATACCGGTTGATAAAAAAATAAAAATAGTTTTATAAACTTTATTCAAAACTTTTTAAGTTTTAATTAAAGTTAAAAAAATTAATTAAGGTAAGTTATAAGTAATAAATTACCTTAATTAGACTCTCAATCTTATTGAACTGGCTAGACCAACGGGTAGCCTGATCTAAAATTGGAACGAGATGTGTAGCTTGGTCCCTGAAGAAGTCAATCCACTTAGGATTTCTTGCAGTTTTCACAACTTCTCTCGCATGACTAATAAGATTTTTTATTGTGGGCCTCTTCAATGCATCATTCACGGCTAACTGTAAAGTGTGGATAGCACATCTTTGAAGATGTATAACACTCATGCTACCGGCAACTCCACTTGCCAAGACTGCTGCTGCATTGTCCGCTGTAGAATTACCATTTTCGTCAAACTCATCAGTTTTTACTGAAAAATCGCCTTCGTCATTGTCAATTTCCTCAATGGCGCTGATGCCGAAGTCGCGCACTAACTTTATATTCACCTAAATATATTAAATACGATTTCAATAATTAATTTAAAGTTTAGTGAATATACGCTACAGTATATAAAAGATTTTATTGACATTTTAACAAACATCAAAACAGTTTATTTTTTTAATGATTCTAATCACTAAAAATATTGATTTTAATCATTGAATTTACACTTTTTCTTCATTTAAAAAAAATATAGATGAACTTCAAAATATGATACTTACTGCTGCGTTGTCAACACCGAGGCCTAAAATATTAGTTTTATTGATTCCAAACTTATCTAAACACTTTTCAATAATTTTTTAAGTGTATTCCGCCGTTTGTTTTCCCTTCGTATCTATGGTGCCAAGATTGATCACAATAATTTCATCATTGTTCGAGTATTGCGCATTTATACCAAAGGTAGTGGCGCATATGCCTTGATGTAGAATCAACTTTTAAATAAATTAACATTTTCGATATTTTATTTTAGATTTGTTCGCGATGCTTTTTGGCAAGATCGCTAATTTGAATTCTCATATTATCTCTATTCATTTTAAATCCATAGTGAGATGCAACTTTTCCGCAAAGCTTTTGAATAGGTTCTCGATCAAACGCCTATAGAATTTGTTTTTAGAATAATAAATGTTTTTTCAAAAATTCGCAAAAAAAACATAATTTTTCAAAATATATATTTTTCAAAAAAATAATTTTAACCTGGAATGAAAGTCCTTCAACCAAAACCAGCCTGCTTCTAAAAATTCATCTTTTGCTATATGCAAGTTAATTTGCTGAGGTACAAAACACTTTAATATGGATTGCTGTGAACTACTGCCTTTGATGACTATATTTTTTTGGTTCTTATTCTTTTCTTCTAATATTTTCTCTAACTTTTCTTTTTCTAACGTTATGAGGAGCTCCGCGTGTTTTCTAGATAAATGTCGTATAAGGTTGCTAATGCGAGCTTTTGCGGCACATGTAATTTCTTTACCGCATAACTCACTACTTTTATTTTTTTCGGGTACAAGACATTTAAAGCATACTACTTTACATCCATTCAAAATTTTATTTGTACGATGAAAATGTCTGTAGATTGTATCTGATGCATAGTTAGTGGCCATTACTAGTCGAGATTGTTGCACACAAATATAAAGAAAGAATGTTGTTATTGCAAGTTATTGTGAACTTGTAAAGTATTAGCTTTTTGTTATATATGCTTCACAAAATTAATTATTTTTATAACAACCCACGAAAACATAGTTAAGAAAATCGTTAACATGACTAGTTATGAATTGACGACGCTGTTAAAAAAAATTTTGTAATATGTTTCCTGGTATTATTTCTGATATGTCGAATTAAATTAATAAGAGTTAGGAAAATGCATTAAAACTAAAAGCAAGTTTAATCATAAAAGGAGTTGTTGCGCAAAAGAATTATTATTTATTGGCTGAGATATTTTTATAAGCATCTTTGGGCTTCTTTATGACATAGTTAGTAGGTTTTTTACCGATTGTCTAGCTCGTTAGTTTGACTTTATAGCGCAAACGTACAGACAAATTTGGTTTTTTATTGCATTTCATTAATTTGTTAGTTAAATTTGGTAGCTTTTGTATCTAAACCATAACGCTTTCATTGCAATTTTTCAGAAGGCGTTATTGAAATTAGAATTTTCATTTTGTTAGCAATGTACAAAATGAACATAATATATTCCATGACTAACGTGTTTGTTAAACTTTATAAGTTATAAAATAAGAAAATGTTGAATTATACACATTATTTTCGGCAAGCTACATAGTTTGTGTTCTTACAAGTTAAAAAACAATATACGCTACTATGTTTTTATATAAAATAGTTTTATTGCACTTTTTAAAAGTTATCTTTATTCTCTTAACAAGCATTTGTCATGTGACGTTTCGCATATTGCCATTTATTCATCCTCAAATTTAAAATGTTATCTAAAAAATAACTGCATATAAGTAGGGAATTACAAACCGTACTTAATCTGGCCAAATAAACGAAATTGGTAAGGAAGGAGGTGAACTTCCAGGTTAAGTGCTCTTCTGCAGTGCTTTGTGACAAGACCATCAGGTTTTTTTTTAAGCATATAAATAATTAAAAAAAATAAAAAAAGAATCTCGGAGTCCTAAAATTGTTATGGACTCCCGAGACTCCGGACTCCAGGCTAAAAGTGGGACTCCATGGACTCCGAACTCCGCATCCCTGGTAAAAATACACACATTATTTGAAATATATTTTTTCTTGTTGAACTCTTAAAACAATAGCATCATGAATCTAAACTTGAGCAACAAGAACACTGCACCTTGACAAGCTCTCTTCTTGCGTTGTTTGTCAAACAAGTAAATAATACAATCATTGACTTAGGATGTCATTTATAGTTTAAAATAAGAATAAAACAATTAATTACAATTTTTGTATTATTTGTATTAACTTAATAAAATTATATAAGAAATTTATTTAAAAAAATCCAGATAATGAAAAATTTAATATAATAATAAAACAAATTTTTGTTATTCATCAGTAAATTATTAGGTGAGCATTGTATAAAAAATAATATTTTGAAATAACTAATGAGATATGAATTAACATAAGCCAGTAACACAATGAATAAAATTGATGATTAGCAACAATAATAAAATAAGCAACTAAAGTAAGTAAACATAAAAATGCATGTTCAATGAAAAAAATTGAAAATCAAATGAAAAAGTTAAAACTTAATAAACGGACTTAGCTTAATAAATTATTTAAAAAAATTTTCTTACTTTTGAAACAAACAAAGCATAAACCAATTAAGACAATTACCTTTGTTGAAAGAAACGGTGGAATCTTTGTTTGGTGAACTTGAAATCTCTAAATAATATAAAGTTCTTACTTATATCTAAAACTTGAAGTAAAAATATGGAGTTGAAAAAAATAACACTAAAAATGTATCTATAGAAAATAATAAACTCATTCCCGCAAGGTTTAATTACAAATGTTTTTCATATAATTTTTGCCCTCCTGAAAAACTATACAAAATTTGATATATGTTTCATGCCTTGTAACGGAACCAAGTATGAAACTAAAAAAACTCAGACAGTTGAAATCATGTGGAGCTAAAATAAAGTAAAACACCACCAGAGCAAAACATAAACAAATGAAACTGCACCCAACAAACTGGGCAAAAAGGAAATAGTGTTGTGAAACTATAAAAAAAACCTAAAAATTTATCAAAATCATTCAATTTTATCTATGACTTTGTTTATCAAAACTTAATGATGCCATTATTGGACAACCCTGTGTTTATTTGAACCTGACCAAGATCTTGCGCTGTTAAAAACTGTGTGATCCTTGAATAGCTGTTTTATTTTGTTAAAAAAATAGAATAAAGAAAAAATCCTTTTTAACTTTTGTCTTTTTAATTTGCTTCAACGCAGAGACTTAAGTAGTTTCAATTAAAAAGTGCTTTACGTTGAATAAAAATCTCCAACAAAAAAACAAATGATCATGCTCTATTAAAAAGCAAATGATCATGCTTCTATTCAAAAGACAAACTTTTATAAAAATATAACTTTTAAGAATTGCCAAAAAAAAAAGCTAAATTAGAAAAATAGTAAATAAACAAATAAAAAAGTA